GAACTGACTAGTTTTTGGTAAAGGCAGGTCCAGCCGTTTCGGAGATACGGAGCAAAGAGTGCAAAAAATAGAAATCGAGTTTTTGAGAGAACGGAGTATTCGATTTGAATGATCTAAAAAACATTTTCTAATATACTTTAAACAAATAATTTCAACTTTGCAATTCAGTTTATATAATTCTTTTAAATATTAGACAATGTTACAATATTTATAATAATCTATTTGAAAACATTCAGTGTTCCTCGAACATTTCGTTACGGTACGATGCGGGAAGTTCCAGCAATTTGCCTTAAGGCACGATGCCATACACCCCACTAGTTTTATTTTAAGTATGTATATAGTACTTAAAAACAAGATATAAATTACAAACACATCGCCTACGATATTATTTGAATAGTATTTGGTTTATAATTGATCTAAAAAAATTTAATTTTAATTGGTAAATACATATACACAAATTATTTACAAGCGCTGTCAAAAATTTGACAATAGCTAAATAGAATTAAAATAACTTTGTTTTGCTGACAGTGGAGATTTACTAGCATAATAATAATAATAAATGAAAATATTCGCAGTATTAGATCAAAAATAAGGGAATTATTAAAACAATATACACATGGTTTCTTGATGATAAAAACTGTGTCAACTTTATACAAATGTGCATTCCCTAAATTTGCATAAAGAAGAGATATACACAATTTAATATTCCATAACATTTGAAGTAATATGTAAACAGAAAACATTTTTTATATATTAAAATTTCGTCAAATTACATGCATATTAAAATTAAACAATATTACACGGCAAACCCTTAAACGCTACAAAAGTACATGTTTCTCAATTCATTCCTTATACCTTTCTACGAAAAAACACATTTCGACTTCATTTACCAGGTCGCGAAGCAAAGTGTATACATTTAACATTAAGCAAAAGATTCCTTAAAAAGTGTATAAGAACCAGCTGAAATCTTACCTTTAGAAATTTGTCTTATTGTGAATGTTATTGACCACGACCACGAATTATAAACACAAGCACATATTTATATTTAGTACATGATTCCTAAAAATCAGGGCCCATTACACTCGCACTTGCGAGCGCCTAAAAGGGCCCCAAATTCAGCTAATTTCTGAATTAAACACTGATTTATATCGCAAATCACAAATCATAAAGTCACAACTTCAACATGAAACTATCAATTCTTAGAGAACACAAGAGGATAAACAGCAAACACCACACAACTTAATAACAACTACACCATCTTGTTCAGACAAACAGTTCGATAATACACAAACAATTCAAAAAGCTAAAAACCAGTTCCTTTTAAAAGCGAGTAATTTCACTACTATTATTAAAATTAAATATTAAAATTTCAGCATTTATCAAACTAGTAAGGGAGTGTCCTGTCAGATCCTAAACAGGTTTTACAAAGCAGAAAATCGCTTATGAAGGTTCGGCTTACAATAACCCAACGCCAATCCTCTGGTAAGTTGTTAGTTTCTTTTTCAGCCACGTGAAACGCCGTTTACTTAAATTACGGAGCCATCTATTATTAGAAATAGGCATTCATTTTAGTTTAGCAACACGAACTTGGGGCGCATGGCAAGGGGCCTTAAGGCAAATTGCTGGTACTTCCCGTACCAAAAATATATATTTTTTAAAAAGATTAACTTTTTTGAAAAAAAAAAAAATAGATTTTTGAGAAACTATACATTTATGACAAAAAATTACTTTTTTTGAAAAAAGAAGACTTTTTGTAAAAAAAGGTTTTCTTTATTTTGAAATATTTTGGAAATTCTGAACTTTTTTTTCAAAGTAATCGTACTGCTTTAACTGCATGTAGACGGAATACCGAAGCTAAAAAAGATTGGTACGGAACCCATAGGATTCAACAAAAATTTATACTTGTTGTTAAAATCTCTCTAAAATATCTGATAATTTGATGTGCATATGTCTAATGATGATCTTTGACCCGCAAATGCCTTTTTTTACTTCTTTTACTAGTTCTGCGAAACCGTTAAACTTGCCTTCATGAAAATTTAACCAGCTCTTCATCTTGTCAATACAAGTAAAATGTTTTTTGAATTATTAAAATCGGACGCTCCGTTCTCTTAAAAGTTGAGTTACCGTTTCTGGCACTTTTTGCCCCGTATTTTCGAAACGGCTAGAATAATTGAAATCGGTTGAACCGTGTTCCCGAAATCGTCGACGAAAATTTGTATCCGCATTTTTTCTAAGGTATGCCAAAATGTTCAGAAACCGCTGAAACGTAAAGATATATAAAAATTTTCATTTTACGATTTTTTTGCGATTACTATAACTTACCCTACGGGAAGTTAATAATATATACACATATTTTTAAAAGCAATAAATGCATATAAAGAAGGAAACTACTAATCAACTGTTAGATTATTTAAAATTAAACTGAATACTATTAAATACTAGTTAATTGCTTACAAAACACAAAATACATTTCTTGATGCATTATTAAAATGTTAATAATTTAATTATTAGCTATTAAGCGACTGAAACATAATTTAATAACTTTTATACTAATTAAAACTTTAGTAATGTCTAAATTACTAATATATTTATATTATTATATTATATAATAATATTTTCGACTAATGCTTTAAATTGAGATTATTTTCAGTACAAAACACACTGACATACATTTTATCTTTTACGTGGTTTACTTTTTGACATTATGTTTGGCAAACATTGTTTGATTATATTTAGCTTACCTTTTTGTTTTTATGCCACCGCCTGGGCTAACTACCAACATCATTCTGCTTACTTACAATCTTCGATTCATCGTAGGTGATTAGCAATGTCGAAATGTGTCTAATTCATAAAATATTCCAACTGATAAAAATATATTACAAAATATTGTTTACAAAAATATCTATTCCTTTGACATGACATAATGCTTTGTTTTGCTCCCGGATGTCAAGGCTGACTTGATCGCCACAAATTATTGAATATCTTCGGAGATGTTTAATACACCGTCCGCATAACTTTAATAGTAGCAAACATGTGGTAAAATTTCAATAGAATAAAACAAAGAATAAAAATTATTCATAATGTATTATTTTATAAATATTTTGTTATACATATACATATATATACATATACATATATATATATATATACATATATGTATATACATATACATATATATAATTATATATATATATTAGATTTGTAAATATTTTATCGAGTTTCGAACAAAGAATCCAAGAAGTAATAATAAAACAAAAAAGTTTTTTTAAAAAATCAATTCTTTATTTATTTACTGTCGACGTTTTGGAACTAGGTACGTTCTATCTTCAGGACATCTGTCAAGAAACATGATCTTGATAAGATAAGCAAACAATATGAGTAAAATGAGTAAAATGAGTAAAATTGTGGGAAAAATAATGTACAGAAATATGACAATAAATCAAATTAGTAAAAAACTTTTGTTTTCTTATTACTTTTTAGATTCTTTGTTTGAAGCTCTACAAAAAAATATATATATATATATATATATATATATATATATATATTAATTGTTTAATATGAACAAAACAGCACTCAGATTTGTTTAACACAACTTTATTTTATGATTACAGACGTTTCGAGACCATGGTGTGTCTCATCTTCAGTGTAATTTCAAAAAACAGTTACTTATATACTACACATTCTTTAATAATTTATTTAAATTTCATTTAATTTTTGATATACAAAAAACACCAACTATTCCTTGCAATGCTTGACACAGTACTAAACAAACATATAACACTTACAGAAATATTCTAAACAAATTTGAAGTACTATTTGTTTAGAATATTTCTGTAAGTGTTACATGTTTCTTTAGTACTGTGTCAAGCATTGCAAGGAATAGTTGGTGTTTTTTGTATATCAAAAATTAAATGAAATTTAAATAAATTATTAAAGAATGTGTAGTATATAAGTAACTGTTTTTTGAAATTACACTGAAGATGAGACACACCATGGTCTCGAAACGTCTGTAATCATAAAATAAAGTTGTGTTAAACAAATCTGAGTGCTGTTTTGTTCATATTAAACAATTAATATTCGTTCCACTCATATCATAAAATTCTATATATATATATATATATATATATATATATATATATATATATATATATATATATATATATATAGGATTAAAGAAGAGTTAAATAAAAATGACAAATGATAGACCTAATAAAATAGAGTCAAATATAAACAAATTTATATGTATACATATGCATGTGTGTGTGTCTGTGTGTGTGCATGTGTAAAATTCGAGATATGAACTGCACTCTTTTTTTGCATTATTTATTAAATAATGTTAATTTTACAAATGTTTCAAGAATAGGTTTGTCTAGGATATGTATTCACATCCATATTTTGATTAATATTAATAAATTACACTGATGATGATTCAAATCTCTCAAAATATTTGTAAAATTTAGAAAATTTAATAAATAATGCAAAAAAGTGTGTTTTCATATTTCCTATGTAATATTATTGTCAATAATATTATATATTTATAAATACGCTAAAAGAAACTTTAAAATCATGGTAAAATTCACACAATATACATTAAATATATATGTCCCTATACATATTAACAATTACAGTTAAAAACCAAGGTAATATATATTGATAAATTTCTAATGATTAAAATTCAAATAAAATTAGCATAAAATTGTCAAGATAAAAATTATTTTTGAATATTTACATACTATATAGTCAAATTTTATACATAAAATATATAATGGCTTAATGTTCTATCTAAGTTAGTACTACTATTAACAATCAGTAAAAATATCTTTTAGTAAGTTAGCTTTCACTGGATATATATATATATATATATATATATATATATATGTATGTATGTATGTATAGACATACATACATAAATCATAATTTTAATAAACAATCGAATATGTGTAAAATTGTTGTCAATAAAAATAAATTTCTAATTTTAAAATTTCACTACCGTCGATCTTAAAATATTTTTTTTTTCTTTAAAATTATGATAAATAGTTTCATTGAATCGAGTATATATTATTATTATGTACTAATAGAAATGAACGACAGGGATAAAATTATATATATGATATGCAAATTACCTGGAAAGGATACTTAACTGGAAATCATACTTAGAACAAATTATCTTCACATAAGTCCAAATAAACATCAAAAGATTCTCTATTACAATTACCATCTTCAGAAAATACATATTTGTGAAATGTCCCATCAACACAAATAGCTGTAAACACAAATAACATAATAACCATAAGAATGGTTTATAAATAAACATTTTTTGGCTTTATAAATAAAAATATTTTATTATTAGTATTTATATTACTTACCTATAACAGAATTCCTGGAACTAAACGCGCAAACACAAGCACATTCTGGAGGAACTGTAAATGTAGCTAAAGCCCACTGTGACTCCATATAGTGACCCATAAACCCAATTCTGGATAAACTGCTTCTTTTATTCAATTTTGTATCTTTGAGGGCAAAAATGTGAACAGTTCCTTTATCACTTGAACAACAAAGAAATTCAGAATCTCGACTAAAATTAATACTGCAAGTAAAGAGAAACAATAAACATAAATATAATTAAAAAAAAAGAGTGCGCGTAAGGATCACACGCGATTGAAGTAAAACTTTTAATATTGTATGAGTAGGCAATTAAGATCAAAATAAAAAAAACATCATATTTGAATTTTAAAAATCATCTTTTAATAATCATATAACATCAATAATAATAAGATCTCCTGAGCATCGGCACAGCAGTCCTACTGATATTAAGAGTTTGAATATGATGTGAAGCTTTCTTCCTAATTTTGTTACCTATCTTACCGGGAAATTCAAACCATAAACGTAGAAGTTCATCATTATCGCCACGTTCTATGTACACTAATTTTCCCACACAACCATTAGCTAAGCCATCACTTACATCAATATTAGTTGTTATTATGTAAAATTTATTCAGAACTAAAATTATTTCATACGGCAAAGCCCCGGTATCAATAACCGATTTTTTTGAAACTGCTGACGAATGTATGATTGTTGATCTGTCGCATGGCAACCTACATAAATATCCGTGGCAGTAGATATTATTTTGTCTTCAACGAGATTCAATATAAATTTATTATATTCCATGGCACATTTATTCTCTAAGAAAAGTCTTATTCCATGAGGACATAACATAAAAAACGTGATTCAATTAATGCAAGTTCATATAGGGTTTAGCGCTCGACTTACGCATGACATGACGCGATATGAGTGGATACTCGCGACATCAGCGCTTACGGCGTCGTAGTGTTCAACTACACGTTGGCATTTTCGTTGCATTTGTACGGATTTACACCCGTGTCGCGCCTAAAAATTTTTACACCCATATCGCGCCTAAAGAAGTTTTACTTCAAAAATAGCTTTTTGGTCAATGTTCATTTCATATTTATTGTATATAAATATTTTTACCAATATAAAGTAGCTGTATCAGAACCTCTTCGTAGTTCAATTAATTGTGCACGCATTTGAGAATCCCAAACTCTAATTAATGTGCCTTTAGATGAAGCTGTAGCTATCATTGAACCAGACTGATTTAATGCAAGACATGCTAATGATCCTTGATGCGCATTAATAGTAATAGGAGCTGAGGAAGCACTAGATTCGGTGCTTTCAATTTCCTATAGAAATAGGTTACATGTAGTTAAAAAAGTGATAATGTCAGATACTACATGTACAAGATACAGTTTTCAATTTATTCATAATAAGATGTGAATTCAGTTAAATGAATTGGCAACAAATATAAAAGAATATTATAATTTAAAACATTTTTGTAAATATTGTTTTGTGAATATGTAAGTATAAAAATATTAAACAAAAGTCATAATAATATATAATATAGTATATAATATAATAGAAAGTTAATTTAATTTTAATAATAATGTAGAAAATAAAATCCATAGTTAAGAGGAAAACTTATATGAATTTATTATTAAATAATATGGTGTTTCACTTATAACTTTTTGTGTAGTTTATTAATAAAATATGCAGACAAAAATTTTTACAGGAATTAAAATACTTTAAACCACAACTCATATCTGTTGCTCACATAAAAGATGTGAGTTCTAAAACTATTTAATAGTAAAGATTCTATTTAAAACTCAAGCACAAATAATAAATTATAATCTTTAATTATTTTTAGAGATAATGTTAATTATATCTATAGCTATAGTAATTATATAACTGAAAATATCACTCACCACAACTTGTACGCTTCCAATTTTATGACCAGGAAATACTAATAATTGCTTTTCAGATGATGACAAGGGGCTTATTTCACAAAGGCCTAAAGGATTGTATCTGGTGTCTAGTGAAAATAATTTTTCCAAATTTCTTGGAAACGAAAATAAATGTATTTGATTTTCTAGAATCACTGCCAATCTGATAAATAGATTAGTGAATATTGTCTCACAATACTCAAGTAGCAGCATTCAATACTTACTTATCTTTGCGCAATCTCACACCTCTGACCGCTGAAGAAAATGTTAGTTCTAACACAAATTTTTTAGCTAAGTCATCATATATTAGAACCATGTTATCTGCAAATTTAGGCCTGTTCCCACCTGACACAATCGCAAATAAATTAGTTCTATTGAGTATTTCACATAATGAAATGCTTCCAAAACTTTCTGTATCTGTAGAAAACAACGTATTAAAACAAATTGTAGAATCAACATATTTCAATATCTTTAATACTGATTACCATAATGTGCCTTTTCCACTAAAGGATCTACATTATATATTCTCAATCCACTTTGCATGCAGCATCCAAATAAACCTATAAAATAAACCATGAATTAATTGGCGTATTATAACATATAAATAAACTTGCAAAAACCTTGGTCTTGGTTAAATCGCAGGTTAAGTACATCACGATAAGCCTTATACTTTGCCATAGCGATAGCATACAACTAACTTCCATAACGCAAGTATAATTTAATAAACACCTATTATTATAAATAAACTTTTTAAATAGCAAACCTTAATTTTATTTTTAAATGTTAAAACTGAATGACATGCGAACAGCTGATTAAAATGCCATTTCAAAACAAAGAACATGCTTATCTGACATTGTCAAAATGCAGTACCATTTTCTCAACGTAGATGCCAGTAGTAACGCTCTTGACACCGTGCCTAGACAATATAATGCTTGACACTCTTGACATGATCTCGGAAAACGCGCCAAAAATGACATTTTGTAAAAGCACCGTATAAATTTATGTTGGATTTTATTTTGAATCCTGTTAAAATAATGAATAAAATTCACAAAAATTTCATCATTCAAGCCAAATAAAAAATATAAATATTAAAAAAAAATTTAATGGCGCGCGATTTTGAATGCTGGTAATGTATGAGGCAATAGTAGATAAAAGTATGGATCTAGTGTTTAGGCAACAATATAACGATTAGTTATAATATATATATATATATATATATATATATATACAGTAAACCCTCGCTTTACGCGGCAAGTGCGTACCGTGCAGTATGGGAACCGTGCTATAAGAAACTCGTATTTAACATACAATTCAGGCTAATTCGTAGTGCGTTCTATGGAACCTTACATAGTGCAGTATGGGATCCGTGCTATGAGAGACTCACAGTTGGTACAAATCGCACCATTTTTATCGCGCTGTATGGAGACGAGAAATACCACTTGAAGTAGGAGTAATACGGACGAAATGACATGTAGGGCATTGACACCTTATTCAAAAATTGGCGCGACGCAGTAGTCAGCTCAAACGTGTTCTTAGGCGGCTATTATATAAACAGGCATGTCTAAAAGATAAAAGTCAATAACAAAATTTACATCAATACCCTTTTGCACAACGAACTTATGGGCTGTTGACCAAATACCGTGTAATAAGAAGTCCGTGTAGTCGGAGGGATGTCGGATTTTTAGCTCCGTGTAGTATGGGAACCGTGTATCCAGAGTGCCGTGTAAAGCGAGGGCCTACTGTATATATATATATATATATATATATATATATCGACATCCTGTTGACGACAGGTACACAGATAAATAAGTATCGCTGGTTACTTCAGTGGTTTCCAACCTTTTTACCTACATACATTTTTTTTTAATTGTTGCTGACTTGTTTTTCTAACAATTTAATTTCATAAATACCCAAGTAATATAATTTATTCAAGGGGTTGTAAAAGAAAATGCAATTTTTGCAATGCAAAAATTAGTTTCAAATATGAAATAGTATTTCATATGACCCATCACGAAGTAAACAGTCCACTGTTATTAATTAAGCAAATGCTTCTAATATTTGAAATTCCTTGTTTCACTAAAAAATAAAATTCACAGTATAAATCCGTAAGTGTGTCCAGTTTTCGTTTTCAGATGATTCTGCTGATTGAGCTTGTGCGAATTTGTATTATTTTTAGATTTTTATTTTATACTCATTTCTTCCTAATTAATTGCGCGAAGTTTTAATGAAACTTGCAAATGCTTTTTAGGTATTTTTTTTTTAAAAGAACCAGTGTCAATGTCATTTAATTTTGAACTCAAATTTAATAAATAGTTTTAAAACTTAAGGCAATTTGTCGCAATGAGTTCCAAAGTTTAAATCAACAAAAATAATGAAAATTAAAATCAATAATCAAAAAATGGCCAAAGATTATCCAAAGCCTCAAATATATATATATATATATATATATATATATATATTAGGGTGGTCCTTAAAATGGTCATTTTCGAATTTCCTTGCTCCCAGGGGCTTAAATGGTTCCAAATAGATAAAAAACAATTCTCTGAAAGTTTTAGCTCTCAATATTAACGTTTAGATAGAGCGCAATTCAATCAAAGTTTTGTATGGAAATAGCATGGAAAAATTTTCAAAAATTTTAAAAATGCTTTTCAGATGTAATTTAGCGAACAAAAGAATGAATAAAACTCATTCATTTGTCGCTAAGTTATACCTAAAACATTTTTTTTTAATTTTCAAAAAATTTTCCATGCTGTTTCCATACAAACTTTGATTGAATTGCGCTCTATCTAAACGTTAATAGTAAGAGCTAAAACTTTCAGAGAATTGTTTTTTATCAATTTGGAACCATTTGAGCCCCTGGGAGCAAGGAAATTCAAAAATGACCATTTTAAGGACCACCCTAATATATATATATATATATATATATATATATAAATATATTTTAATAGTTTTGAACTTGATGGTGATATAATAAATTTTATTTGAGTTTAAAGGTTGGGCGTTACCATCAATAAATTCTTAAATATAATTTATTTAATTTTAATTTTTAGTTATATTGATTGCCAATGAATGAAGGCTAAGATGCTAGCCGAAATGTATGGATTTTAAATAAATTTCTAAAACTCTCATACTATTTTTATTGATGTAACGCCCGGTTTCCAAACACAAATAAAATATACATATACATATACATATAACATATATATATATATATATATATATATATATATATATATATATATATATATATATATATATATATTAGATCAGCAACATAAAATACATTATTTCTTTCATACACAAAAACAATAATATAAATTCTTTCAATTATAAAACTTTATTTATATTCTGTTAAAATTCCATTAACACCTAATATCACATTATTTTCATCAATTAAGTTCGCCAACTCCAAATAAAGCTTTCAGTTCATCAATGGATAACTTGCTTGATTGCTGATATTTAGCACCAGTAAGAACAGAATCAGCAATAAGCAACTTTTTATCTTGAAGTGCTTTTATCTTTTCCTCTATTGTATCCTTAGTAATAAACCTGAAGCAGATTAAAAAAAAAAAAAAGATTAAATTAAGTCAGGGTTAGCAAGCATATCAATATTAGAACATCAGAATTCTATGGTATATAAATGACTAAAATCACTCAAAGACATATGCGAGCCTTTATACCTCCAGAAGCATTCACACAAAAATTGAAATGCATAAAACCAATAAACAACATACTGCATTGGAACAATTTTTAGAAATAGTATATTAATAAGCATATCAATATTTTAATTCATCAGAATTCTATAGTATATAAATGACTAAAATCACTCAAAGTCGTATGCGAGCCTTTACACCTCCAGAAGCATTCACACAAAAATTGAAATGCATAAAACCAATAAACAACATACTGCATTGGAACAATTTTTAGAAATAGTATATTAATAAGCATATCAATATTTTAATTCATCAGAATTCTATAGTATATAAATGACTAAAATCCCTCAAAGGCGTATGCAAGCTTTCATACCTCAAGAAGCATTCACACAAAAATTGAAATGCATAAGATCACTCAAAGGCATATGCAAGCTTTCATACCTCAAGAAGCATTCACACAAAAATTTGAATGCATAAGCAACATATCGCGTTGAAGACAATTTTTGAAATAGTATATTAGTAAAATAAAAAAATTTAATATAAGATAACCTATGATTTACTAAAAAAATTACATAATGATTTATCATAATTTGTCTTTGATGGAAATCATACTTATAAATGTGAACTGCTTTTGTTTGTCCAACTCGGTAAATTCGATCTTGTGCTTGGCTTTCAAGCTGTGGATTCCAGTGTAAATCTAACAAAATAAGATGGTTACCTCCTACAAGATTCAATCCCACACCACCAGCAGTGAGAGACAATAGCATGATCTACGGGATAATATTTTTTTTAAATTTTTCACAATTCACAACATTTTTAATCACTTATCATTAACTGACAAATTCTATGGAACTACATTACCTTTGGATTCTTATTTGGTGTGTTGAATTTATCAACTATCTCTGCTCGATCTTTCACTGGGACTGTTCCACATAATACTATGGAACTTAGTTCTAAACTCTTTAAATATTTTTCCAACAAGTGTAGGACTGAAGTCCATTGTGAAACTACAATTACTTTATCACCATCTTCTATTTTCTCCATTATTAAGTCGAGAACCAATCGAAGCTAGATAAAAAAAAATGATTCAATTAAAATATTCAAATTACCATATAGTAAAAAGCCTAGCTTATATATATATATATATATATATATATATATATATATATATACAAAATGTTTGCACAAACTTTATTTGTCTCATAAGATATGTCTTATCTTCAGTGTAATTTCTTACAGTAAAAAGTAAGTAATTAACACATTATAAAATATTAATTATAAATTATATTTAAATACGGATGAATTATCAACATCCTGTTGCAAGGCTTGACACTACTGAAAATGTAAAATGTGTGTGGGAATATTTAAAAAGAAAATTATTAAGTTAGTTCCTTTTGTGAAATAATATTTGGTGAACATCAAAACCAAACCTATGGTGTTTGACCATTGAGTTGACTGAGTGTAGTGTGTTCATATTTACATTTTAATATTCGATCGACTCTAAAAAAACAAAATTCTGTATATATATACATATATTTAAATTTTTTATATATAATAATGAATGAGAAATTCATTGAATAATTATAAAATCTTACTTTTGAGCTGATTCTATCTTTACTGAAAACTGGGTTGTTTTTGCTCATAATATTGCCTGTGTTCTTCTCTGCCTGTGATTCATCTTTTGCATCATCATCCAACATTAAATCATTCAGTTTCTCAAGTATGTCGGTATCCTCAAAGTTCTCATTGGAATCATTCGCACATATGTCATCATCCAGCATCTGTTTTGAATATTCATAAAAATAGCTTGTGAATGTTTTGTGAATAATATATTAAATTTTTTTACTTACATTAAAAATTAAAGAACAATGAGAACAAATTTGCCGTAATCTGCACAACAAAACTAAAATTTGGAATGTTTTAATTTCTTCACTACCACCCCCCAATATTTTGCTCATTTTCTTGTGTGCTTTTTCGTAAACTTGTTTGTTATCTAAAATTAAATAACAGAGTAGGTATAAATATATGTTCGTTTACTTGAATTAGTGCATGAAATGCAGTGAGAAGATAACTTACATTTATTAGATGATGCAAATGGATGATTTTCATTTCTTGCAGCACGCTGTTCTAAAAAGTCGGCAAATAAAGACTGAGAATATAACAAAACCTGCAAATAAAAATACAAAATAAAATTTTAACAATTCAAATCAAACTAAATATGAAAATTTTAAAGTTTTTCTAACTTTCTGGTAAACCATCATCTCTTCTCTGTCAAGAGTAACATCAAAAGAATGAATTTCTTTTTCAGGAAGCGAAGAAAGTTGACCATCAATCTGGAGTTGAGCTTTAGTTCTTCTTAGAAGTAAGCTTTTCAATATTGTATTTAATCTCTGTTGTCCACCTGCTGTCTTATTTACAACCCACCTTTTCCAATGCTAAAAAAAAGCATTAGTATATATGCGTTACAATTGCAAATATTTTTTCATAATATTTAAAAACATATTTATATCTTACAGCTAAGTCATCAAAGGGACGACAGCGCAAAAACTTAAGCAAGGCATAGAGATCATGTTCTTTATTTTGAATTGGCGTGCCAGTAAGTGCCCAGCGTTTCCTAAATTGACAAAATTATTAAGCTTGTATTATAGAAGTTTAATATAAGGAGTGAAATTTTTAACCTATCTCTATTGAAATAAAATAAATTATTACCTGGCTAATAAATCACAAACAGCTGCAGAGGACTTTGCCTTGTCATTGCGAATAATATGGGCTTCATCCAATATAATTCGTTTCCATTTAATATTAAATATGTTTCCCTGGGGCTAAGTTATAACAATAGTAGAATAAATATCAAATGAGTTGGAAATAAAGTAAATATAATGTATTGGTATAAACAAATGAAAAAAATGTAATGTTAAATGTTAAAATGTGCAATGCATACGTCTCACAAATTTTGTTTCTCCGTATTTAAAAAAAGAAGAATGTATATTATTATATATAATATGTATTTTTATCATTTTTTTTAATAAAACTAGAATATATAAAATTTTACCGGAATATGATCTCGAGAAACTATGTTATAGGTAGTTATAACCATATCTTGGCCAGCTAAATATTTGGGTCTGACAGTCTCTCTCTTAGCACCATGATGTAAATGTACAGTTAAACTGTTTCTTCTACAACGTCGCTCAACCTCCAGCTCCCATTGCTTCAATAAACTAGCCGGGCATATGACAAGAGTTCCTCCAGGTAAAACTGTAAACGTAAAATGTGAAATAGAAACTAATTGCACTTTTAACACAATTGAATTAGAAAACATCAATCAGGATTTCTATAGTTAACTTGAGTAGCTTGAAAAATAACAAAACAAACTTAATAATGCATCTCATTAACACAAATTGATACACCCCAAGACTAATGTGTGTTATTATTTTCATTTCTTCTATTATGAACAAGCCAAAATGCCAAAAATAAAGAACTTACTTCTTAAGTGAGTTCTTTGAAGTAATAAACAACAAAATAATGCTGATGCCTAATCTTATTTATTTAAGAACTAATATTTGTAAAATCTAGTAATAAAAACAATTTAAACAATTTTTTATTTGCTTAGACGTATATGATTTTGTTGGTATTTGGAGTGTATTAATATATTATTTTATAGTGTTAGTTATAGAAATCCATTAATCAATATTTTACCACCATAAACTGCTATAACAAAATATTTTTTACTTACATGAATATTTGTGTACACCAAAAAATAATTACATTATACAATAACATATATGTACCTAATATATACAGTAGAACTCCACCTTATGATCTAAATTCATTCCGTAACCAGGCTTGCATGTCAAATTGATCGTATCTCAAAGCAATTTTTTCCATATAAATACATTGAAATGCTATTAATTAGTAAACAAAAATAAATAAAACTTTATTGCTAAAATCAAATACAAATTCTGCAAAAACATAGCAAATTACTAAATAAAAAATGACCAAATAGCCATTATATTAGTTTTTGCATTTAAGGAAACTATTTCTTAACTTTCCAAATTATAGTATTGGGAAAATGTATTAGACAAAACAATTCTGATGCTCAACCAATTGCATCTTTTTGGGAGTGATTTTTATCTACAGATTCTTCATCTTTATCCCACATTGAACAACATATTATTGAATATTAATGAATTTAAATTTTTAACTTCAAAATAATTTGCTACAAATATTTGTGTGACGGTTAAATGTGACTTTTCATATGAAATTAGATAAACCTTGCCTCTTACTCGCACGTATCTCGAATTTTTCCAGTATGACGAAGCAAAAAATCGCTCCTTTGGCAACTCGTATCTCGAAAAACTCAAATAATAAGTCGCTCATAAGGCGGAGTCCACTATAAATTTAAAACCAACTTACTTTTCTTTTTGTTTTTATCAATCCATGAACCCTCCTCATCATTTGATTCTCTGTCCTCTTCATCGCTAATTTCATGCTCTTTATCATAAAGAACTAAAGATATCATTGTCAACGTTTTCCCCAAACCCATGTCATCAGCTAAATTAAATTAAATATTAAAGAAACTAATTTTTTAAATAGCAAGAGAAAACCAACCTAAAATGCCACCAGGCGGCTTCTGAGATTCCCTCCAAATTAACCATGCCAATGCCCTTAATTGATGTCTCATAAGTTCAACTTTAACATTTACTGGTTGTTTTGCTAATGTATTTTCATCTGGGCAGGTGGCAAGCGAGCCATGTAAATTCTTCAATGTGTCCACTGTCAATAATTTTTGGGTGCCAAACGTATCAAGTGCTACAAAAAAGAACAATTAAATATTTCAATATCAATATACCATAGCTCAAGAATTGTATTATACCCTGTTTTCCAAATGTTTTAGGTGCTATATTGTCAATATTTTCAAATCCCATCACTTTCATATCTGCCTCTGAAGAACCTTCTGAAAGTATTATGAATATTTGGTTATAATTATGTATGTATAAAACAAAGACTGAAGTGGTGTATAACATCAATAAAAGATCCAAATTCCAAATTTATTACTAAGCAGCAAAATGCTCGCCGAAAAATTCAGTTAGTTTTACATATGTTAAAAAATTGGTAAATATATATTTTTGGAAAAATCCTCTTTTCATTAAAGCCCCAGCTAGTTCACACAAATGACACACATCAGGCCCTTACTCCTTCCTAAAAATTATCATGTTTGTAAAATAGTCCAAAATTGTTATAAATACAACAGATTTACAACATGTTTATATTACATACAATGTTTAATTTGTGTTTATATTGTGAAAAAAAAAAACTTTTAACTAAACTATAACAGTGTCATCAAAGACTCTGTTATGATAACATTCTTCCTTGCTTGTTTATATGTAAAATGCGCTTGATCGCTCGCAAATAGATATATACTTTCACAGTTTTCACTACCAAGCGTAAGCATAACATAACATTGTCATGACGATGCTATGTTATGAGCTCTGTTAAGGCAGAACTGCATATATATAAACCCATATTGCCCATATATAAAACATGTAACAATGGGGCTTGCAATATATATATATATATATATATATATATATATATATATATATATATATATGTATATATTATATACATATATCACACATACATGTGTGTAATATGAGTACATACATGTATAAATATATATATGGATATATAACTGCAAGCACTATAGATGTATTAAAATCATGTTAGGGTTTTAAACACCATCAATAATTTTTTACTCACTATCAACTATAAACATCTTCGCAATTTTTTCTGCATGGTTTCGTACATCTAGAATTAATTGTTCCTTTGCTTCTAATATTCTTTTTCCATTGTCTTCTAATGTATCTAGTTTTAAAGTGCTAATCATGTTCTGTGGAAAGAAGTTTTATGTTGTTATTGATAATGATAAATAATAGTTGATAATGATAAATAATAGTTGATAATTGAATAAAATTGTAATAAATTGATAAATGCATCCAAATAATTAAATAATATGTGATAAATAATACTTACATGAATCTTGCGCAATTTCTCTCTCATATCATCTAGCTTTTTTTTTTCTTTTTCAAATTCTTCCAGGGTTACATATTTTGTGGTAGGGGGAGAAATTATTTTAACTTCTTCTACTTCTTTATCTGAAGAATCATTGCTATCCTATAAACAAAAAAAAATAATTAAAAATTAAATATTTTATGAAAATAATAATTTGATAATTCTAAAACCAGTCAGTAAATATTAACTGTGCCATTAAAAGAAAATATGCCAAAACATCAATATTTTTTATAAATTTGAATAATACATAATATCTATGCAACAATAAGTGAAAATAAATATATTTACTTATGTTATTTATGAATTAAAAAAAACTCAAAAATATATTTAAAATAAATTATAACTTAAGGAGATGCAGATTGTCTGACCTTATTTACAAATATTGGTTTCAAGTTCTTATGTTATTGAATGTATTTATTTACCTGGTCACTTTCTTCAACAACAATAATGGAACTCTTAGATTGTTCAACTAGAAGAACACTTTGGTCAGCTTTACTTTGTAAGTTATCATCTTCAGCTATTGTCTCCAATGAAGAATCAAGTGCTGTAACATTTGCTGACTCTATTTGAGTATTTTCTATTTTTGGTTTCACATAAAATGATGAGCACATTGTGGGTGCACCAATTTCATAATTGTCTTCAACTTCCTGCAAATACTTATTAAATTTTAATTCCATTGAAACCGAACTATTATCATCGTAAGAATCATTAATAATCTCTCGGTAATGTTTGGTGCTTTCTAAATCATTTATCGGATTCACAACAGTATGTAGTGAAACAGACTTTTGCAATATAATACTGCTTTTAGAAATCATATCTTCTTTATTTGATGTTTCAATTTCTTGACTATTATTGACAGTTTCTGACGTTTCAATTACAGTCTGACTAGAATTTGGTTCACTAACATTCATATGAGTTTCTAGACAATTCATGGTATCTTTATTTGATGTTTCAATTTCTTGACTATTATTGACCGTTTCTGACGTTTCAATTAAAGCCTGACTAGAATTTGGTTCACTAACATTCATATGAGTTTCTAGACAATTCATGGTATCTTGTAAATGTAAATCCTCACATTTTTCCAGTTTTTCACCTTCTTTCTTAGAATCTCTCATGCCCACATCTTCCTCAATACTTTCTTTTTCTGGTTCAGATGAAATTCTACTCATGTCTTCACTAACATCTGCATTAACATCGGTATGTTCTTTGTGAGCAACTAATTGAAAGCTTCTATTTGAAGGATTTAATTTTTTATTCAAGTGCCGCATACTGTCATTTGGAGAAAATAATCTAGATCGCTTATTACTCAATCGTTCAAAAGCAGTTTTAGGTGTGTTATAATTCGCTTTGAATTGAGAATCAGAATTATCACATAATTCATCTGATGAACCCTCACTGTCATACGAATTGTCATGTATGTTTGATTCGGTTGTGACACTTTCGACTTCTTGTATAATGGATGGACTATTAAGAGAATCATCCTAAAATAAAAAGAATCAAGATTATAAGTATGAGATTATAATTACTTCTCATATTTAGTAGTATGAATGAAGAGCCAAAACATACCTGAAGCTAAATTAAGTAATATGCCTCAAACCTTTTGAGTTAATAAAGATTTAATATTAAGTATTTCAAAAGTTGTCTAACTAAAATGACTTTCAGCTAAAGAAAACCATTACGTAAGTAGTAATACTATTGTACAAACTGATACAATACCTTTCAGTAATATGAACGTGCTATTGATGTTAATTACCAAACATATCATTACAAAATATAAAGTTAATATGACAATTATAATCATTCTTTGAAAAGCCATTTTCTAGAAAGTTTAAGCACTTTTTACTGTAATGACCAAAAAGTATCAAGTTGGATTTACTTAACGTAATTATTATTACGATATATTATATTATTACTTTATATATACCAATATAAAGAAGTAGTTTGATTCAATAGAGTAAAAATTTGACATTCTAACAGTACTAGAGTCCAGTTTGAATTTTTGTTATTTATGCTATGCATCGAAATATTTAATTTTACTATAGATAAAACAATTTAAAAATTTATATCAACCACATAGATCGACTTATAAAAAAAAGTAACAATTATTAAAAAAAATGTCATCATTTAGGTTGCTTCAAATACATATACTAAAAAGTACCAAATATTTCTAGTGCTATCAATATAAGACAGACATCAATAAGTTATGCAGTATCTAAAAGTATGATAACCAATAAGAAACTAACGTCAGATGAACTGATGTACGTTGTATGCCTTCTAATTCCCAAACTCCTGCGAGTACTAGGCGAAAACACCTCGGCTTCGTCACTTTCTTCATCTGAGCTTACAACACGTATAGTTTTGCGAGACTTAGGTTTTAGCATGATTTCGTCTTCACTAGACGTTGTTTCGGAATCATCTAAATAAAACGAGACAATATCAGCAGATCATACCGAACTTAAATATACATCATTCCCATACCTGTATTAGTTCTAAAAGACATTGTTTTAAATTTAATTAAGACACTTTTACTAAACACGTATAAAACTCTATAACAACAAAGATATTAAAACAAAACGTTTTCAACGACCTGCACACACACAGATAAAACAAGTATGTACGAGTACGACTGACACATAGCATAGAGACGTTTGTTTTGTTTTTACCGATCGCATTTACTTGAAACAAAACGCGGGTGAATATTTAACACGTTGCCAACATCAGCATAAAGCAAGGCAAGAAATGTTTTGTTAACCATAGACCTTATATACATGGACTGCTAGTCTCCATACATTTCTCAGGTACAAAAATGTCAAAAGATATTTAATTTCGCGGCCGAGATATGTCAAAAATACGAACACGTCAATTGCACTCGATCGCTTAAACGTCAAATGAAAGTCCGTGTGTTCGAAATTATTGGGAAAATATTATATAATATACAATTTATGTTGAACTAATGAATGTAATGAACTATTTATTCATTCATTGATTTTAGTTATACAAAGTGCTCAAGGAAAATTAGAAAAAAAAATTAAAAAAATATTTTGCATATCATAAAATTCACTGAAAATAAGAACAGTTGGCTAGAGCTATTATGAGAAATTAGAAAGAAATGACGACATATTTGTTTAAATGTAATATATTTATTATTGGTGTTTAAAAAGCACAATTTCCGTGTGAAAGCGGCGTACATGTTTATCAACTTCGCTTTTTTATGTTCTTCATGGTGCATTCTATTTGTTAAGTACATTTTACCACAGACCAAACACATTTTAGAAGACATTTTACTTCTTATTAGATTTTGTCTGTTTCTAACAATTTTAAAACGGGTATTTTTATCCACCTTTAGGTAAAAAACACGAGCGATCAAACATCTCGTGAACCCAAGTAACTGTAAAATTTAAGCGATCGAGAGCATTCGACTAATCTCGGGAAAGCTCGTGTTCGTATTTGACATATCTCGGCCGCGAAATTACATTGCATTATAGGCCCTAGTTGCATATATTATATTGTCTAGACTTGCATGGTATCGTGTCTTAAGGCTAATTGCAGAAACTTCTCGTACCAAAAATTAAAATTTTTAAAAAAGATTCAAGATTTTTTTTATACTTTAAGAAAAAATAGATTTATGAGAATTTTGAAATTTTAAAAATTTGTTTTTTTTGTCAGTTAGTCAGAAATATTTTGGAAATTTCGAACTATTTAAATTTTTATCAGTTATTCAATTCTTCAATACAAATAAAATGGTTTGAATCATTCAAATCGGCCGCTCCGTCATCTTATAAAATAAAGTACCATTTTTGGCACTTTTTGCCCCGTATCTTCAAAACGGCTAGACGGCTAGACCTGTTTTTGCCAAAAACTAAACATCAGCACGTTTCCCTGTCAATACAAATTGAATGTTTTTTGAATTATTCAAATCGGTTGATTCGTGTGTACGAAATCGTCGACAAAAATTGGTCCCACGCACACACGCGCACTTATTTGTTTGCCAAAATGTTCTGAAGCCTTTGAAACGTAACATAATTTTAATTTTCGATTTTTTTGCAATTACTATAAATTACCCTACGGGAAGTTAAAAACACAAAATCTTAGTTTCTTTTTCTCATGGCAGTAAATATAGAATTCACTTTTCAGAGGAAATTAAAAACAAGAAAAATTATGTGATTATCAAAGTTTGAATTTAATAAAAACTAAATAAAATATTTACATATTTTTATATTATCACTATAGCAAACCCGACGAACTCCGTTTCGCCACCAGATAGTTTCGTGAGAAAGTTGAAGAAATTTTTTGTTTGTTTTATATTTGAAAAGAAAAAATTTGATTTTATTGCACAACAGTAATGAATTTATTTCGATTACAAAAATGAAGTATTTTTTAGTTGAACTTCTCTAAGTAAATGAAAGTGAATCCGCAAATTATCCTTTTCATTGAAGTGCTCTTTGGTAAACTACATTTCTTGTTTTTTGGTCTGACGTTAACACAAACAAAGCGGATGGTTTTCCAACTCGTGAACAGGCAACGTATAACTGCCCATGTAAAAAACAATGATTTTCTAAATAATATATTTGAAATTTATCCCGCAAACACTAAGCGATTGGCCTTGCGACTTGTTAATTGTCATTGCAAACGCAAGGCGAACTGGATATTGCAATTGTTTAAAGTCAAACGGAAGACCAGTCGGAATCATTGGTATGTCACCAAATCGCCAGCAATTTTTGATTAAATGGTGAAATTCAGTGCGTGTACATTATTATTCTTAACCAAGCATAATTCTGATAATTCTCACTAATGTCATTACTCGAATTTTTAATTACGGTGCGTGAAGTTCCAGCAATTTACATTAAGGCACAATGCCATGCACCACTAATATTCACTAAGGCACTATAAACCTTGCGGAGCCCGAGACCTTTCCAACGAATGCAAAATTGTCGAAATCAGTTCGTGCGTTCTGGAGTTATTTTGTCAGAAAGGAAAACCTGACTTATTTTTATATATATGTAGATTACTATTAAATAATTATATAAAATTTAATTTATAATTACCTTGATCGTGATGATCATTAAATTGCATTCCAAAATCATCCTGAGTACTGGCACTTGTTGAAATTTCAACACCATGGACAGCACTGTCATTTACACTGGAAAGAGTTAATTCTTTCTTTTTTTCTGCGGCTATTCTTTCGAATTCCCACTTCACCCTCCTACTAAAATGCCGGTCTTTCACAAAGCGAATAGATTTGCGAAACTTTCTAGTCGACATATTAGTATGGAGTTTCTTTGAGAAAAATAAATCAACAAAATCACGTTATAAACAAAGCAAAAGCACAAATATAAAATGGCGCTCATCTACTAGCATCTTGCTTAATCTACGTACGCGTCCTAGCTACTGCGCATGCGCACTATCTATCGCGCATGCGTCATAAGTCTGGACCAAAAATTAACCTATTTGGTTAAACCTGGTTGAACCAGAAAGGTCACATTCTAATTAAACCCACTGACGGTCAGATAATGTGCCAGTTTTGATCGATGTTAACCTAGCGGGTTCAAAATGGGTCAAAGCGGTTCGACGCGTGCTATGTGGGAATAAAATTAAATATCACTAAATAAACATTTAGTGTACATTACGTCGAATAAAATTAATATAATATTTAAAGGCTAGTAAACACTAGTTCAACACTCGAGAAAATGTGACCAGCTATTTTCGAGAAAGCTTATTCATAATAGCTTTAAAAAGGCCCATCGATAACATTATAATAGTAGCTAATCAACAGTAGAATGTTTGATAATATCCTTAGCCTATATACTATCCCATTTTCAATATGTAAATCTTCTTGATTTTGTATGCCATCTTTATTCTTGATTTGTTAATTCTCAATTGTTACAATTAATTTCAATTAATTTTTCATTTCTGGCTCTATGCGTAATGATTCTTTTACTGTGGTCATTTTATAGCTTTGTTTTCATAAGATTAACGCTGAAAAACAAGCGTTCTACCTTAGCAGCACTGTGTGGCAAATATAGAAGCTATATTAATATATTATATTCTCAAATTGTTTATTAGGCATAGAAGCTTTCTGGTTAAAGTTGATAACCCCCAAAGTTAAAGTTGATTCCACCAAAATTCTTCTTCACTGGGTTTTCTCAGCCTCATTAAATTCAAAATTATTGCATAGGGTTCTTCTAGACAAATCCCTAGAATATAATATTTATTCTCTATCAAATTGTATATATTCAGGACAAGTACTTGAGAAATAATATAAAAGTTCAGAAAATAAAGTTGCATGTTTTTTGCTCAAATTATGACTAATTCACTTGTGGATTCAATATCTGTAAACAATTTAGCCAAAGCAAAAATACTGTAAATAATTTTTAAAAAGACTGTAGATGCAACAGTTAAAACTGAAAATGTTTCCAGATGTTACTGAGCTATATATGAATTATTTCTTTGGGATCTATTCACAATTTCATCATTGATTTAACTGTACTTTTTGAGCCACAAATTATTGTTTGCAAATGCTTTTTTTATGATAACATAAGAAATATGTGAGAATGATAAAAGTAAAAATTGAATTATTATGAATGGCTTTTAGTATGTATCTAACTTATTTTTGTCTTGTAATGTAAAGATAGAACAATGTATGTACTAGATTTGAAATTAATTTAATTATTTTCACTTCACAATGTCTACCCACATAAGATATCTTATGGAATATTATATAATATACCATTATAATTAAACGTTAACTTCATATCAAAAGAAGATCAGTTTTTATTGATTATACAATGAGCTTATCCTGGGAAGGCTAAATATAGATGTTTTAATAAAATGAATTAAAAAAAGAAACAACAATAATAATACTTTTTATCTTTATATTTAAACCATAAATACATTCATAAAGATTTCAATAGCTGACACGAACATGATGAGAGTAATGTGACAGTCATGACTTTATAGAATCTCAATGGACCTATCGTATCACATATATTTAAACTATTTGTGCACGATAACTTTGAGTTACTCGTGTGAATCGACAAAATATGGTACCAGCCATAAATAAATAATATAATGTAGCAGACTAAAACAATAAAACAATTGTTTGCACATTTTAAAACAATATATGTATATATATATGTTGCAAATATGGGACACAGAGTTCAATAAAATTTTATATTTTATTTTCAGTTTTTTCAGTTTCACCTAAATTCGATTAACCAGACAAAGTCACTGGCTAATGTATATATTTACAACATAAAGAAAAACACACTAAATCTTATGTGGGTGAGAGAGTACGTGCCTCTCAGTTTTTGGCATCGGTTAACCTAGCCTAGTCTACCCTAAAAATTGTAATTTTACTAACAATCAATATGCGCTGACATGATCTCGTAACATTAGAATAATTCCTGTGTTTCATGACACTCCATGGATGGTACAATTGAATTCTTAATTTCAATAGTTTACAATTGTATCACTCATTGAAAATTGTCTTTTACAAAATCTACAGATTATTTCATACTTAATAGGACGAGATTTTCAGATAGAAACAAATAGTTAGTGTATCTTATATGGTTTGGCAAACACATAAAGGAGTATTGTCGTCCTATTCTAATGACACTGCAAATGGTAAGTAAGCTAATTAAATATACACAATTCTAAAACGTAAGCTAGAAAGAATATGTATATATATGCACATATATTTTAGTCAAGTTATCATTAACTAAAGATACTCTTAAATAAACCAATTATTTGAAATTGTTACAAATTCATAATCATAACAATACTTCTACTATAATCGTACAAAATGCTACTAATTAAATGTAAGCATAATAGATTTAAAAACAAACTCATAAAAAAATATAAAGAGCAACTTTGAAATTTTTATAATTAAAAAAAAACTCAATAAATAAATTAGTTTATAGCACACGATACATATATACATATGTATTAACTTTTAACTACTATTTATGTAAAGCATGTATTATATATTGATTCGAGAATAACATGAACTAAATACTAACAATTAACATCTGTTATTTGAGTGCTCATTATATTTTATATGTATAAATTTAATAAATATAAACTCTGTGAATAACACTGAACTCCACTCTAAACACCATCGGTTATTTGATTTCAAAATAATCAATATTTCAAGTTTGATTATGATATATATGCATATAGATAAATATATTTGTTATACTATTTATCTCTAAATCATAATATTTGGGAACCAGCCCAAAATCCATAGCAGAGAATGTTAATTACAAATTATACATAGCAATATACATCCGTTTCAATAATCAACCAATGATAAAACTCAATTAATGGATATACATTCTTTTTTAACGATATTTATAAAATCTGTTTAATACATACGATTTATATATATTTGTGTATAATATATATATATATATATATATATATATATATATATATATAATACACATACAACGCGGCACTCTATTTATATAACTCGATTAATGCATTTCGCAGGAGGACGGCCGCGACGCCACTTACGATTGATCAGTAATAGTGAGTATGTAGCAGCGAGGTCGTTAGCGTTTCCACCATGCGACAGTGCGTTCAGATATTTTCTTACAAATTCCTACTGCTCGACGTCAGATCCCACCTTGCTGCGAGGTGGATTCTGCTTCTTCCTCCTCTTCTTCTTCCTCTCCTCCGCCGTCACCATCGCCCTCGGCGTCGGATCCACTACCTTCCTCCAGAGTAACCTAATAAATCCAAGAAAAAAATAAGTTTATATCTTTGTTTCGGTTCAGTTGATTAGAAATGATCATTAAGATAAAAACATACTTGAAAACGAATATTTTCATCAGGAGGATCTTGCTGCGGAGGACTAGGCGGTATCATACTTTGGTAGAAGTATCTGTTCTCTTCTAGAGTGTCTAATATACACTGTGCATCTGGATGCACCAAATCTGCCCAAGTTTCCCACAATGGGTGAACGATATAGTCGATGAATCCGACCTATTATCGAATTAAAGACATAAATTAATTACAATAATTATAAACTAATAATAAAAACTACAAATTTCATAAGCTCACATAATAATTTTAATTTATGAAATTACAAGTATTATTTTAAAATTATGTTGACAAAATAACTTTTGTTTATATTACCTGGCTTTTTTCAATCGTTGCATTTTGCCTATCACACATAGGGCTAATGTCCATATTCGCTTCTCTTTCTCTATCACCCTGAAGGAAGAACTCTTCCATCAATAAATCTACCCAACGCCTATACAAAGGCAAAGGTTTTGTAGGATTGCTCAAATCAGCGCAGTGGACAAGATTTTCTAAGACTTGAATTCGATCTGTATAGTTATCCAACAACAGAACACCAGATCCGGCTACTTTCTTAGTTTCTACCATTGTTTTCAAATCGGCCAGCAAAGACATGTGCTTGGACATGTCCGTTGATAGAACCATATCTATCACCATCTTACGTAATGTTTGTCTTTGTTTCCTGTGAGAAGAATAGATATAATTGTAGATATTTATAAAAAAAAACTGTTACTTAAAAGATAAGCATATATTAAGATAAGGACCGATCAATTCTGCTGTGTGAATTTATTTGATAGATTTAGTTTTGAATAAATAAGTTTGTTTTGAATAAAATCTGTTTATTTCTATCATGAATTGAAATATATGTAAGATATATTTTATATATATAAAAAAATAATATTTTACCTTGGTATATTGCAGAAAATGTCACATCCAGTCGTTTGTAACAGTTTGAATGCGACTGCAAGATGGTGATTCTCCAGCACCGATTCATCGTTGTACATAAGCGCCAACTCGGAACTAGAGTTAATCAGAAATTGGTTTGTCAAACCTGGATGATCGACATCATGAATAGTTGCCGCAAATAAGGCCGCGCAGACTTCTAACGGTGTGAATACTCCTTCCAGAGCCGGGGTATTCAAAAGTACACCAGTGCTCTGCGTTACATCTGCTGCGTGCAGGGAGTTATGGAAAGGGTTCTCTCGGACGTAGTGATCTTCGAGAGTCATCATAAAACTGACAAAAGTTTTGGCTGGTATCATCAGAGCGGTCAACAGATCGCGACTCTAGAAAAAAGAAATTAAATAAATAACGTCTCAAACATATAAAATAGTTCTTTCTGAAAAGAAACACTGCGATCTACTAAAAAATTACGTTTTTACGACATTGCGTTTGTTTAGATCCATGATGCCAAAATGATAGATGTTGAAAACAAAATGCTATATATTAGGTTGGGGAAAAAGAAATCCATTATTTTTACGTGAACTTCAAGACTTTATTTAACATGTTTTGCATTGTTCGATTTAGGTCAAATATGCACCATTTTGTTCTATAATTTGTTGCCATTTTAATGGTAGCTTCATTATGCCTCTCTCATAAAAGTCTTGGTCCTTATTAGCGAAAAACCCCAGCAATTGATTTTCACACTCTTCCCTTGATGCCAATTTCTTATCACTAAAAAAGTTTTGCAATGCAAGAAAAAGATGGTAATCGCTTGGTGCGAGGTCCGGACTGTATGGTGGATGCATCAAAACTTCCCAACCAAGCTCCTGGAGTTTCTGACGAGTCACTATAGAAGTGTGTTAGTTAGTCCCGGTTTGGCCACCGTCTGAGCTGCTTCGCCGCGCTTTGACCACGATCGCTTTCGCATAATGTTGTCATATGTGACCCATTTCTCATCCCCAGTCACCATCCGTTTAAGAAATGGGTCGATTTCATTACGTTTGGCCAAGGCTTCGCAGATGGAAATTCGATCCATCATGTTTTTTGGTGTTAATTGGTGTGTTAATTGACCCAAACATCAAGCTTTTTTTAAACCCAGCTTTGTGCAAATGGTTTAAAACTGTTTTGTGGTCGATCTTTAACTCCTGGGCGATGCTACGACTACTAACATGCCGGTCCACTTCGATGATTTCAGTGACTTTGTCGACATTTTCGACGACGGGCCTGCCTGTGCGAGGGGCATCCTTAACGTCAAAAATACCCGAACGGAATCGACGAAACCAAAATTGCGCGTAATTAGCTGTTACAGTATTGAGACTATAAACACTATTCACATTTTCAGCCGCCTGACTTGCATTTTCGCCCTTATCAAAGAAAAACTGTAAAATGTACCGAATTTTCGCTTTGTTGACTTCCATCTTTAACGCCGTGTAACTCAGAACTGAATGGACAAAACAAAAAACTGCAAACGAATTCTTTTAAAACTGTTACCTTGACAACGAGCATAATTTGAAATTATTTGATCGATAATTTACGAGATATCGATCACTACAGCCTTCTACCAAAAAAATAATGGATTTCTTTTTCCCCAACCTTATATTTGTTATATTCTGTAGTTCTTTTATGATAATTTTCATTTAGAAAATAAGGAATATAAATTTAACCAATATCTTTTCAGATTTTAATTATACCACTGATTTTTATCCGCCAAATTAAAGTTTTGGCGCAATTTGATTTGAAGTCAATGATAAAAGTACACGAGATTTTACACTTTCGCTGATTACAAGAAAGAAAATTAACAGATATCTTCCATGTTCTTACTTGGAAATTAGTATATGCAATGCAGGTTAGCGGTTTGCCGCAGCTGAGTTCGCCAATGCGGAATATGTCGATACCCCATGTATCTACGTCTTGGAGTAGTTTTCCAAGCGCAGCCTCGTGTGGCGTCTCAACGCCGTGGGTTGGCGGTCTATCGCCACTAAACGAGTTGGCGTGCGTCACCGTTCTCTTCACACCAGATATCTGGGACATAGGCGGCTGCGGTCCGGCCGACGGCCGCGGCGAACGAGCCCGCTGCTGGTTACTGGAGCTCTGAGCGCTTGATGTCACACCAGCCTGTAATAATAGTAATAAATTCAATTTTATATAATAAATATCAATTCTATAAAAGATAATTGTCTAAATTATTTAAACATGAAATATATATTGTACTAGCTGACCCGGCAAACATTGTTTTGCTAAGTAAGGTATATTCTGAACCTTACCTATCTAGACCTTTTTACCCTATAGGCGGGGTAACTTGAAACGGGCAGGTTGCAAAAGGGTTTAAAGCCTTATTATAATTTTAAACGTATTTTACAAAATAATTACATTTTTAACTAATGCTAAAAAACTACTAACAGAAGAAAATACTTTTATTATAGATTTTCAAAGATTACCGTTTATCTCCCCCATTTCAAAGATTACCGTTTTCAAATCAAGGTTATAGCTGGTTATACATCTTTTTTCCTCTAGTTTCAAATATTGTTGTTAAACAATGCTTAACTTTACTGATTTTTGATACATTGGTGGTGGGCCTTTTTAACCCCGGACCATCATATGTTATTATCTATTCTTCGATAAATTCTGGGAAATTATAACTGGGAAAATGTTATTCGACAAAATGTTTATTTGATCGATACAAATTTAGGTTCTGAATTTAAATAACATAAATAAAAAATAATATAACCTAGAAAATGTTTTATAAATACCAATGAGTATAAAATTATACAAATGAAATCTATCAGAGCACCGTGTTTGAGAAAAATATGTCAAAAATTTCATTTTCATATTAACATTTCAAAAAAGTTGATATTTAGTTTCTAGTTACACTTGCGGCCCGTTTACTAACGTTTTTGTATATAAATAAAAGTACAAACAAAACTACTCACCACAATTTAATCATAATTAAATAATATTCACGTAAAACATCCTATTAAATGTAATTGAACATCATCTGTCAAAATCGTTTGACATTTCACGTATTAGCCACCGTCCATTGTTTTATTCAAATTACACTTCTACAAAAATTTTCAAATTAAAAATGTAAAGTTTATACGCGATTTTGGAATAATATCTCACCTTTTGGACTTTCGGCACGAATTTTTCAAGACTAAGACTGGCCACATCGGTTTAGCCGTTTTCGAGTTTTACTTAGACATTTGAAAGAGAGCTTCAAAAGATATTGGACATTGAAGAACATACATTTACAGTAATATCTAAATTTATTATCTGCGGTATGTTGAAGTTTAAAGCAAAAGCGAAGTTTAAAGCATTGCCATTATAATTAGCGTCGTGACAGCGTTTCATTTCCCAGAAAAATGTAATAAATCGTTTTTTATGTCCGTATCTTCTATAAAAAATTTGCTTTACGAATTGCTCGGTCTTTTTGAAGTATTTATGAAAAAAATATATAATAAAAAAGGATAAAAAATGCTTTTAAAATAACTAATAGTAAATTTTGAAAAGATAACACTATTTCATCACTGTATCGAATTATGGGCCGATTCTGCAGTAAAATAGACCAATGTAAAGGCAAAGTTATGTTACGTTCCAGCTTTCATACAAAATGCTACTAAAAACTGTCATACTGTATTTGCTGTGTCAATCAAGCTTTTTACACAACTTCACTCATATGTGATCAATCTCAAAGATGCAATTATGATAACATCGTTCTTTTTGACATTTGTGCGTTTTTTAGGGTAGGTTTTCAATGTAAAACACAGCAACCGCATAGGATTTTGACACTTTTTAGTACCACTTTATATAAAAACTGCTACATAACATAGCCTTGCCATAACCTTGGTCTATCTTACGGCAGAACCGGATCCTTATTCTAAGCAACCTTTCTAAATCACAGGCTGCATTTTATGACGGACCGCACTTATTAATTATTTACGAAGCTTGATATATTCTAATAAACATAACAAAAATATTAAATTTAAAAAAAATCATATATTAATACAACAAGGGTAGAATACATTATAATTAATCTTAATAGTCGATGAAATAAATAAAATTTTACTTTAAAAATGCTTTAAAGGCCGCATGAAGCACGGGGGCCGCGGGTTTTTCAACCATTATCTATTCTATTCGGCGCTTCAATACAAACTGAGTCATTATGTAAATAAGATACGTGAAAATAATTATTATTTGAACAATATAAATAAAATGAAAAAAAGCAAACTGAGAGCAAATTTGAAGAATGGATAGGTGAGTAATTGGGTTATGGATGAATAAATTGATAAATTATGTATACAATGTAATGAGAAATTATTATTATATAATTATTTATATTAGCCGAAGAATATTTCATCGTAAATGAATATATAAAAAATATACGAGTAGTTCAGTGAAAATACCTGTTGTTGTTGCTGGCTCAAACTGTGATGGTGATATCCTGGTGTGGTAGAGCTGACCGTGGCGTCACCAGCAGCCTCGTCGATTCGCAATGAGGGAAGATCAAGTTCTTGTTGTTTGTCTGCAAAATATAGAGTTCATATAATAAGGTAATAAATTTATTGTGCAGCATTCTTTTTCAGCTCTCGAAACACTATTGTTTTTACAACTACTTATAGCTACTTCTATATAAAATATTATTTCTATCTAATTGAAAGCAATGCAATGCAATCCGCCAACACTCCGTGTCTCGCCGCATGCGTGTCTGTGGTGCTTTTGTGTACTCTACGTGAGAACTATCAATCTTGTGTAAAGTTGAAATTGAATGTTACAGTAAACTATATAAAATTAAGTGTGATTTCTTGCAATATCGGCCAAGTTTGTTATAAAAAATTTCTACAATAAAGGTTCGTCGAGATAGTAAATGTAGACTATAGGTAGTGTGAAGCGTTTCTCGATTCGATCCCAGCTAGAAATCTAGTTGAACTTGGTTTCCTCTGTTTGAAAAATCATTTGTAATCATTTGCATATCTGACATATACTATTTCTCATGTATATTAATCTCGAACAATTATGCGAGTTATGCGACTTAGTGTGGTAAAACTCACGAAAATCTATTATATGCGAAATAGCTCATGTATTAGGTTTTGTATATCGTACTTGGTCATAAATAGATATGAGTGCAAGAATATTGAGTAACAGTTATAAATAATGTGAAAAATATTTGCATGTCTACTCGACTGAAATATCAATTAAAGTCTTTAAAAACGTATTGTATGTATCGCTATTAGTGATATCACACAAAATCATAATAAGGTTAAGCTGATATATATTAGAAAATAAAAAAAAATATTATTAATGACATGTCTTTAAAACATTATCAAATCTGAAATTTATTAAGAACTTGCAGGTGTCAATTCGGTATAATAGGTACGAGGAATATTTACTTATATTCAAATATTCACACATCCACGTTGATACTGAAACGAATTTTATCATGAATGACTATATTAGTACATGATTTCAGTGTACAATTACATGAAATAAAAACTGTGTACCAAAACTCAATAACAAACAACGAACTAATCAGAATACGATGCTAATCATCGTATTAGTTATTCGCCATTACAAGTGTAGTGCAATAGTTTTATGGGGTTTGATTGGTTCAGATAGCGAACAAACATCATTAAATTTTTTTTGCGGTCATTTTAAAAAATCGAAAATAAAGCAAAATTGCCATCTTCCCGTTCATCGAAGAATTGATACATCTTGTCGTCTATTTATTGCAATGTCTTATTTAAATTACGTACACACAGTACTTCATGCAGATGTCGTCCATGGACGACATTCGTACCGAAAGGATTAAATAGATTTCTACGTTATACCAACTTCAATTCAAACTTCACGATTGATCGCAATTTTGTAACAAAGATACAAAATTTAGTAAACTTAAAAAACGGTGATTAATTATATTACTATTATTTGTGATTGAAATTATTACTGTTTTTCGTAACTTGGAAGTTGAAAGCATACATAAATCAAATGTGATGTTAAATATAATCATAAGACGGTAAAGATTTAACAATTTTGCTTATACATTTGTCTTATTTACGCGTAAGCAGTTTGTTTGTATTTACATTTATTATAAACTTTGACATTCTTAATCTGCTATTTTGCTGAATATGATTATTAATGATGTTCGCTATGTGAACTCTTCATGAAATTCAGATGGCATGTAGATTTTTAAGCAGTCACATTTCCAACTAGAAATACAGAATTAGTCCTATTAAGAGATTGCTTACACAACAGTACGTACATTTATTTGTTCAGATCGGCGCAGCGTCACGTGTAACATAAAAGAAAATAAAATGAAATCCGTTATTCTTTGCATTTTGTCGTTCTAATATAGCATAAAAATGATAATAGTAAATGTAAAAAAAAATTCTAAAATTATAAAATTTAAATAACGAAATAACGCTCTACTATTACCTTGAATAGAGAATATCTACACATTTACTTAGATAAATAAATAAAACTTATAACAATCAATCAATTAATGTAACATATCCATTTGAAAGACATAAACATAAAAGAAAATTATAGAATAAACACTTATGTTTTTGGGCCGTGTATTTCATATAAAAATTTTGATATAAACTAAAACGTGCTTAATACATCAAAATTGCCTTCATTTATCTCCTTTTGGCAGTATATGATTGATTAGGAGAAGCTGTATGAAATATTTTCTTATAATAGATAGATATGTGTTTTATTGACTAAACGTTTTGCTTTTAAGTTTTAGATCACAAAACTCATAAAATATGCGTTTTATTAAGATTTTTATCCTTGAAACCTACATTGTCAAAATCTAATAAACGGGCATAACATCAATAAAAAACATAAATTTATTTAAATATTTATATTATTATACATACTTCTCGTCTATAGACACAGGCTTCATTCAGTGGAACTAAAATAAAATTAGGAAACTAAAATATATGACAATAGAGAGTTTGCAAATTACAACAAACTTTACTAACAGTTTGTTTATCCTTATATTAAAAACAGATAAAACAATAATTCGTGGCTTGAGGATATGATAACTCACTTCACTTTGAAATTTAAACATTAAACAATTTTTATATTACTCAAACTTCATTGTTACATATTTTAGTTTGCTAATTTTATTTTGGTTCCATTGAATAAAGGCTAAGACTACTGGCCGAACGTATGAATTTTAGTTTTTTTAGAAGAAATTAAAGTTTTCTATGCCCAATTATTTTGGACTCTGTCAATTACTTGGATTATAAAATAATACAATAACGGTTAAGCGCACTGCCTTGGTGATTTCGAACCCCCACTCTGGATAATCTAATGTCATGCGGTAGTGATATCAATTTTCACTTCAAAAAATATGTTTCCAATTGAAAATATTCATTTTCAGGGACTGCGGTGGAGATGGCAATGGAAAATCTATCACACTATTTTTCCTTGAATCGAGTTGGAGATTAACTCACGGACCTGACCTAGGGCAGTACTACCCATTATATATATATATTAGTATTTAGTATTTAATTATGCGGAATTTTAAAATTCAAAATATTTTCATGGGTAAGTTATTCTACAATCAGAAAGAAAACATCATTTTGAGGCATAAGAATGCTAAATCATTATTTATAATTCATAAACGGTTCTAATGTTCTACCCAAGAAAACTTTTTCTTCTTGGGCAGAAATCTATCATTTCTAGCGAAAATTGCTTTTATTTGAATAATGATGTGACAGAAATCCACTACAAAAACGTGAATCGATTTGTGGTAGCCATCATATTTTTTCTAAGAAATATGTAGCATGTAGAATAAACACGGAATATATTAAATAATTTTAGTATAGTATTGATAGAAATCGGTGAAGCAATCAAAATTGCTATTCATTTTACTACGAATCTTCGAGATGCTTAATTGAGCAAATAAATACACAAAAATGTATACGAATACATAGGTATGTAAATAATAATAAAAACTAATGGTATTCTGTCTATATATTTGCTTTAGATTCGATTTAAACATGCGTCTACTACGTAGTAAGACGATCAATGCGCGGTGCAATGACCAATGTTACTCTTCAATTCAGAGAATCTATATTTTTTACAGCCCCCACATACATCAGTTTTTCTGTATTATTGATTGAAAAATTTATTATATACTGATGCTTGCTGCATTCTTGTAATTCGGAAATTGGGAGATGCAAGAAATTGCTGAATTCTGCAATCCAATGTTTTGACGATGCTCTTATTGTAGTAAACTTTGGAAATCACCGTTTTTATTAACGTAATTTGGGAGTTAAAGTATTTTTTAAATGCAAATATATTTTATACACACAGACACACATATATATACATATATATATAATATTATTTTTCATATCTCCATCCAATATGCATAGTATTAAGATGACCATATTTTTTTAGGTGAAAAGCGAGACGGCAACTTAGTAGGTTGGGGGGGGGGGGTTTAGCTAATTTTCGAAAAGTTGAAATGAAGAACAAAAATTGTTTATTTTCGTAAAATTGAAAATAGAAGTCCGAAACTATCAATGTGAGATTCAATTTCATTCGAAAATTTTCCTTATGGTCGCCTTAATAGTATAAGCACCAATTGTACGCCAGATGTTAGAAATGATAAAGATTAATAAGGTAATAAATCGTTTACCAAATATTCAAAGGTTAATTGTGTAAAAGGATGTAAAATTTAGTCTCTGCAAATAAAAATCATATTTTCTCACACAGAAATTTCTTTGCATAATAATGGTTACCTGAATTGAATGAGAGCCTTGGGATTTCACGCTTATAAACATTTAATGTAAACGAAGAAGCGTACATACATTAACACCGTACAAACCTGAACAATCTAGTTTCTGAGAATAAACAGTATATTGAGAAGTTCTAAATCACATTGTCACATATAATTTACATTATATATACATTCAGGTTGATATATATATATATATATATATATATATATATATATATGTATGCGTGAGCTTTCATTGATAATAATGGCTCAAGGCGTTTCATTTGTTTGCGCACAAACAGTAATTTTTGTAGCCGGCATTTTTAAATAAGGAACTATTTAAATAAAGGTATTTCCATTTTTACGAAAGCTGTTGGCACCGATAGTTATTACAGTGATCATTTGCATATTTAATAGAAAAACACCGATTCTTCATAAAAGTGACGAAAACAGTTTTCGTTATGGCCTTATCAATTTGCAGGTAAATCTACTAATGCTCAGAATTTTAAGTTTATGAGAGTGATTTATCTATTCCTACAGATTTGAAATAACTTACCCAAAAACGTCGAACAAATGTACTCAGATATTTGATTTCCAGAGCTGCTAGATTGACTGAAGTGACTCAGTTCCTTGTTCAGCATGCGTTTAAACTGTAACAAGAAAAAAATTTAATATAGTAAATTAAAATAGTAAAAATATGGTAAAAGATGAAAAATTCAATTTATTAGAATACACTAAAATTTCGATATTCGATATTATGAAGATATTTTAATGACGTCAATGTTGTTATGTTGAGCATGTTGGCTTTGTTTATGTTAAGGTAAAATTAGTCACATACTCTAATTCTATATCGCTCAAATTAGACCCGAGAGTAGTAACATAATATACATTATAGGTAAAAAAAATACTTAAGATGTCACACACACCAGATCATGGCGTTTTTCCAAAAGAAATATAATAATTTAGAGTTGGCAGATGTACAAATACACATTCTCAAAATTTGTAAATAAACCATATACCTGAACAAACATAATACTTAATTTTACAGACCCTTTAAGGAATTATCATTCATAATATATAATTTTAAAGTTTTTTTTTTAATTCTACCCCTTCCAAATATTGGATCTTTTTAGTGATGGTATGGAGGAATACCTGAGTATGGAATTGCAATTTTGCTGTTCAAACCAAATTTTCCTATTTTGTGATTAAACTACTATTTAATATAAATGTCCTCAATGACAGTGATAATTTATTCATAAACATATATTTTTAGTTCTAGTTTTTTTTTATTTTCACGTACTAGATTTCATCAAAACCGAAGGTAATTGCAATATTTTAGTAAAACAACTTTACGTTTTTTTATTGGCATTTAGCTCTTTGTAAGTTTATATTTAGTTTCTTTTTTTCCTTAAATCCTATACAAATATGTTAAGAAGCCAAAATCATGAGTATGATCAGGCGCCAATTTCCCCTACTTCATCACCGTCTAGAATTAAAACTTTGACTATTTTTAATTTTTATTTTTTTATATTCTTAAAACATTAATAACTTGTAAAAAATATAGTAAATATATTGTTGCCTTATTTGAATGGTCTTTCAAAAACCGCATGAAATGCATGCCTCTAAACCAGAATACCCCTTATAAAAACATTGCTATTCAATTTAAATCATATTTTGGTCATATAGATAGTTATTTTATGATTGAACAATCGAGTAATTTTGTATTGTTTTCGCTTAGTTTAATGTGCAATTTTAGCATGGCAAAAAATAATTTATTATATCCAAAACCACTGTAATTGAGGGGGTATTCTAGTGTAGAGGCATTAATTTTAGATTATTCTTGAATCATCGTAAGAAAGACAATAACTTTTTATAATATTTCTTTATCAACGTTACAAGAGTACAGAAAAAATTATAACAAAAAAATCATAATTTTAAAAATTAGCAGTGGTTGAAGTGTGGGATCTCAAAAAGTTGACACGTGGCCATGCTCACGATTGCAACCCTACTAATTATCCGAAATGAAGAAAAAGATTATTAATCTAGAATGATGTCGCATTGGTATATACTAACAATATGATTAAGTTAAAAAATAAATTTTGAACAAAATGGTGACTGCTTGAAAAAAAGATCAATTTATTACCAATTTTTTGAGTGTCCCGTTTTTTTTTTAAAAAATAGTAAATATTGAAATTTATGGATAAAGCCAGTATATGCCAGATAGATGTCTATAAAAAATTCCCCAAAAATTGTAAGTGGAGCGGTTCAGTAGAACTAGAGAAATCGTGGGCATCGTATTGAAAAAGACAGTTTTGAGAAAAAGGCGTTTAAAGTTTTGCAAAAGGATTATTATGGTCAAATAGCTGTATCTCCAAAGATAATTTAAACTTTTGCAAATCCTCTCGTACACATATTATGTTATAATGTCAAATAAACACAAAAAATGCATTACTTTGTGGGGATCAAGCAGGCTAGTCATGATTGTAAAAAAAACAATTGGACTTGTCATTTACATTTTGATATTGTAATATTTTTATAATGAATAAAATTTATATAATTTTATACGATGGGAGTTTATACTTTCATTTTTATTACTACTCCCACAACTTTAAGATAGCTATGATCTCTCGTACCACAATATTTGTCTGACAGAGGTACAGTATGTATGAAATATATCTAACAATAATAAATAAATAAATAATACACATGTTAGTATACAAAGTAGAAGCTTATGAAAAGTAATTTCATAAACTTCGTATTCCATGATTCCTCTACTACGATTTGTTCGCAGCGCCGTAGAAGCATCGTAGCTCGTAGCTCGTAGCATGATCGTAGCTTGCTTATCGAGCGGTCGAAACGATGTGACGCTTTCGAGTCCTATTCAAACATGCCGCGGATCCTCATTAAATTAAACCTCCGGCAGCGGGATACGCGCGCCACTCGACGACCGAACGATGGAGCAGACATCAAAGGGACCGAAGCGCGAACCGACCCGCCCCAGATGAATTAGCACTTGACGTCTAATTGCCAACTTAGATAAGTAGCCGGAGAGAATTTTATTAAAGCCGAATGACACACTGACTGATAGTTAGTGCTCATTTTGCACAATTTACACCACTGCAATTCGGAAAGGGTGGTATTATTATGTAACCTAGAGGTAACTCTTGTTTGCATTGGACTTAGTAGTCGTGTTCATGAAGGATGGGCGCTTTGCATTTCTATATTTTTGAACAATTCACCGTAAAGACTAATTCAGTTATTGTTTGCTAAAATCGAACCACTAAAACCTTCATCTAAAATATACCATATTTATAAGGTGACCATATTTTTTAAAGTCGAATCCGGGACGGCAATTTTTAGTTATGCTAATCCGGGACGTCGGCGGGGAGGGGAGGTGTTAATCGTTTATATAATAAATGCTATTCAAGAATACAATTAAAAAACAGTTTTTTTGAATGAATCTTTTTTATCATAATTGCTTACTTTTAGTAAGAGCTTTGTACTTCGACTATTATATGCAATATTTCTTTATGATATTATATCTTATATTTTTCGATCTATATGTTCCATTCAATTTTCTTCATAATTAATTTGAAAAAATTAGTATCTGGTTTAGCTTTAAAAATTCGTCAAAGTTTGCAAAAATTAGTATGATATTTTTGGCATTTGTCAAAATTAGAACTTTCATCGACGTTTGCTCAAAAACGCCTGAACTGATTTCAGATATTTAAAAAGCATTTGATGTATCTCGATGAGGATTATCGTTTCTCAGTTTTGAGCAACGATCGGCCGAGCCGTTTCTTTGTAATTTGGAAAAAAGTGTTAAACTTTTCGTCCACATTCAAGCTCATACTACCGAACCGATTTTAAAAAATCAAAATCCGTTTGAAAGATATTAGTTGCGAATGATACTGATTAGTTTTAGGTGAAAATCTACCGAGCCGTTTTCTTGTAATTAACTGTTGAAAAAAAAATTTAGGCCGATTTTTATGGAACTTTTTTTGGGGAATTTTAAAAATTCATCAAAGTGTGAAAAAATGAGTAGTTTTTTTGACGTTTGTTAAAAATAAAATTAGATGATTTAGTTGGTATACCGATAGTGTACTTGGTCTTGAACATAGTAAACCATTAAAATCCTACGGAAACTGGTTCAATTACAATTATTGATTAATTAAAATTATTGATTTTTGAAAATTTGCTTTTAGAAAATACTCCGAGTTGACGTGTTTGTTCGTTAGTTTGCAATGATGTGTAATAAATCCACTCGGAATACTTATAATCACTCATAAATTAATTTATTTTTTATTGATTAAGTCGATTATTTACACATATCGGGAAGTTCATGTAACTTGCCTCAAGGCTAAATACCAAACCAACTAGTTAAAAATTCTAATACTGATGACTTTATCAATGCAGCAATGCCTTATAAAAGCAGTTGAAACAAAAAAGTGTCTCTGTTTTTGATTTTATATATTATTAATATCAATCTAGTCCTATGAGCTTGTGATGACTCCTTAATGACTAGGTTTTATAGATGCCAACGGTCGTGCTATCTCTATTTGATAAATTCATTATTAAAAATAATACTGATGACTTTATCAATGCAGCAATGCCAGAAAAAACTAATACTACCTGTATTCTTAAGCGAAAACCGATATCACTACTGCTTGACATCAGGCTGTCCGAAGTGGGTATGAACCTGGTTCTGAATGAAACCCCATAGCTCAAACCACTAAGTCGTGGAAAAGCTCTGGTACAAAATGTTAACCAGATGTGTAACATTACAATATTTACCTGATCTACAATGTAGCTTTGAGTTTTATTTTCGAACGCACGGTTTGTGTACCGAAGAGAAGTGTATTTTGCTCTGTAATATTTAACGATTAAAGTAGTTCAATGTCGCGCACCACTGTGATTGCACTTACATTTAAAACAAAAACACATTTACAACCATTGCAAGTAGACAAACAACCATTTGTAGGACAGTTATGGATATTTATCGGTTTTAATTTAGTTCAACTATTTGAAACTACATTTTAATTCAAGCAACAATTCAAGCAAAAAAAAATCTTTTTAGAAATGGATTTATATCAATTTCAGTATTTATTTATCATAGAGAATTATATTTTAGAATAAAAAAAAAGATGATTTTTCTGTTTGAAGATCTTCTGATCATTTTGTAGTTCCTTCAAAAAAATTCATGTTTGTGTGCTCCAATATGTAAGTAACATACGAATACATTTTTTTTTTCAAAGGAAACGTATTAATCGATTTAATTTAAAAACCCTATTCTTGCTAGATTATAGCGTTTTTTATAATATAAATATTGTTTAAAATTTAGTTTTCTAGATTTCAAAAGTGTCCATAAACTTGTTAAGGTTAAGGCACGATTTTTGATATTTTAATATTCAGATCAGATTTGAGGTAATAGAGTTCTAGTTGAAAATTCCTTGAAATATTTATTCTAAATATTGTCACATGATTTAAAAAAATATATAATAAACTATCGGTAACAAATGATTATAGTACATAAATTAGATTCAAATGAAATAATTAGCATAATCATTTTTCTTATAATTTTTCTGATCTCCCAATAAATAATTTTATTTCTCCGATAGTAAAAGTTATTCACGACTCTACTTCTCTACTG